CCGCCTCCGATCCTCCGCCGCGCTACCCGGGGGCGGGGCCGCCGCGGTCCCTGCAGACGGCGACCTTCAAGGGTTCAGAGCCGCCCAGAGAACCCGGTGAAAGGTAGAGATCCCCGAGGTGCGCCCAGACACCTCACCGCAAAACTCCACTTGAAGTTTCTTTTGTAACATTGGAAGTTGAGTTCATATAGCCTTCTACATAGACACTATTTTCGAAGAATTGTTCTCATGTTGTCTTGTACAAATTGGTGATGACTTACCGAAAAGAAAAATCTGAATGTTTTATAGACAAAAATACTTAACTTGAGCTCAGTTCTCCAGTACTACTTGAATTCGTATCTTGCCATTTCCTTTCTATGCAAATCACCGGTAGTGTTTAATGATATGCACTTCATTTAAACGAAACCTGAGTTGCTAGACTTTTTGTTTTGTTTTTTGCAATAGAAAATATCGTAAGGTTCTTGAGCTCTTCATTACTTATTTATTTAGGTGCCGGGGATTGAACTCAGAACCTTGCCCTTGAGAGGCAGGGGACAGCATCACTGAGCTAAATGCCTGGGCCTTTAACTTATGAAGCTGTTCTACTATTAAAGGACAGTTACCAACCATCTGAAATGGTAAAAGTGGAAGATTATTTTGTGTTAAAAATAGTTTAATGTAGGACATAAGTTTTAAAAGGAAAGTTTTTATTCTAAATGGAAGAATGTGAATAGCATTGGTTGACTCGAAGCACAGAATCCCCTTGCTCTTGCTAGAATTCTGGATTTGCTGGCCTGTCATCCTTACCTCTACCCTGTAGTCTGTACCAGGCTAATTACCAGCTTCATAGGAACAAAGTCTTTGTCTCGGAAGGTGACAACTAAGTGATCTCATAACTTGCTCCTACGGTGCATTAAAGATCCATAAAGGAAACACCAAAACTTTTTTCTCTTTATTCATACTCAACACCCTGTATCACTTTGGGTCCCAGAAATGTGTGGGTGTGTTTGCCCACCTACCAAGCAGTTTTCCAGCAGTCATCGTGCTTTGTCAGGTCCCTCAGCCAAGGACTCAGTTGCATAGGCCTGCCTGTACTTCAGAGGCCATTTCTGAGTCCCAGGTTGTGCCCTGTGCGTCTGGTCAACCACCTAGCTCTAAAGCAGGGTACCCAGGATCCACCCCCTCTCTTATATAATTTCCTAGAATGGCTCATAGATCCAAGGAAACACATTTACCAGTTTCTTATAAAAGATATGGTGAAGGAACAGCCATATGAAAGAAATGGATAAGACATTAGGGAGGGTAGCAGAGAGCTTCTATACCCACTCTGCTCCATGCCCTCCTAGCGGGTCCACAAAATTTGTTACCTGGAAGGTCATCAAATATCCTTGTTTTTAGAGAGCTTAGTGGGCTGAAAGTCCCAATTCTTTAATCCTCTAATCACTAGTATATCTGTGGAGACAACTTTATTCTGGTTTATCTGGGGCCCTACCTTGTGTGACAGGGGCTTGTTGTGAATAACAAAATATACATCCTATCAGGAAATTCGAAGCATTTTAGGAACTCTGTGATGGAATCAGGGACAAAGACCAAATCATATTTCATATTATCACATAGGAATCATCTGCTGTGTAGTTTTGCTAAGCCTCTGAAAAATGAGGATAATAATATGGACCACATCAGCATATGTTAGTGTGGCCTGAAAATCATTATCAGCAATGCTGCTTGTTGATCAGAATATCTGATGATGAGGTACAGTATTTTATGCAGTTAACAAGTCTTCCAGGTGAACCTTATAAAATGCGAGAACCACGAATCCCTCCTAAGTTGCTTTAAGTAATGATATGGTTCATGTAAAACCATAGCACAGTGTGAACTCAGGATGTTTGTTTGTTTTTAATTAATTTTATCGGTACATTTTAGATATACATGACATTCATCATTGGAATGTTATCTGTTTTTATTCTCCACTTACAAACTCACAGTCCTCAGTCCTTTCAGGGAATGGTCACTTTTAATGTGACCTTTCTTTTTTTGTGCTGGGGATCGAACTCAGGCCCTTGTGCTTGGGAGGTTGGCAGTGGAACCACTGAGCCAAATCCCTGGCCCCTAATGTGACCTTTTCTAATCATAGACATAAATCAGGATTTTTTCCCATTCAAATAATTGGCCTCCATAATGATATTTCAAAGTACGTGGTGCTGGGGGAGAATTGTGGAGGGCATTATTTTGGACTTAACTGACTTGTTGGTGACTGTGTTTCTAGACTGAGTAGGTCAGGCCAGGGGTGCCCCTGTAGATGAGAGAGGCATGATTTCTCTCAAGACTGTAGGAAATATGGCCATGTAAGAAATTCTAAATCTTCTAGTTTCAGAGGAAGTGAATAATGATTTATGTAGAAAGTTTCTCACATATACACCTATATAAAAAGATATAAAACAATTTTAGTGATTTGTCTTGCTACTTTTTATACATCATTCATATATAAACCTTTTCCAGTGTGAAAACACTTTTTGTTTGGGATACTTTCCATACCTTTTTTTGCATTAAAAGTTTTGAATGAATGTTCCTTTTGACATGTAACCTTATTATTTTGCACCTTTATCTCTTCTTAAAGATACTTTTGTACTTTTTCAAAACTAAATGTTAATTTGAATGCTTTAGACTCATATTATCAATATTTCGTCAGACTTTAGAAATATCCTAATCTGTGGAGAAAGTTGCAGATATCGTATAGACTAACTCCCATTTACCTTTTTTACTCAGATTTTCAAATGTTAACATTTTGCACTGTTGGCCGCATAAATTATTTTTTTCTGAAAAATTTGAGAATAGGTTGAATATATCATGCTCCCTTCCCTCTAGTATTTATTTCCTCAGAACAAAGGAGTTCTCTTAATAACCACAGTAGAGTTATCAAACTCTTAATGACATGATTCTTAATTAATTTACATTCTACATTCCAGTTTCAACAATGTCCCAATAATATTCTTTCATTACAAAGAAATCAATTACCCAGGAACTTTAATTTTTTTTAATCTGGTGCTGGAGATCACACCCAGGGCCTTGTACATATTTGACAAGCGCTGTTACACTGAGCTGTATATGCTTACCCCTCACATTACAGTGTCATCATGTCTCTGGTATTCTTTAACTTGGAGCAGTTCCTTTTTGCTGTTGTTTCATTTTTGGTTTTCATTTTTTCTCTTTTTACCATGTTAGTTTGAAGAGGAAAAATCCATCTATTCTGTAAAAGTAACTTTCCTAGTGGCAAAATCTGTGCGTGAATAATGTGGTGTCCCTTTAGTTATACCACATTGTAGTATCCTTTTTGCCTGTTCCATTCTTGGCGAGGTTAGTTTGAGCTATACTTGGTTAAGTTGGTGTCTATTATTTTTCTGCACAGTAAAGTTAGATTCATCTTTTGAAATATATATGAACAAATATGTTTCTGAATATTGAACCAGCCATGTTAAAATGATATGAAAAACTGGCATGGTGGTACATACCTGTAATCCCAGTACTTGGGAGGCTGAGGCAGGAGGATCTCTATGAGTTCAAGAACAGCCTGGGCTACCTAGTGACTTCCAGGTCAGTCTCAACTACATAGTGAGGCCCTGTCTCAACAAAGCAAAAAAAATTAACAAGGAGGGAAAGAAGACCCTTGAAGTGGGTGTAGCAAAATCAGGAATGATTTGAGAAAGTGGGAGCCCCATAAAGGGAGCCAGTCTGACTGACAGAGGGTGTCTGTGTTCAGAACTGGGAACTCGAGAGTATAAGAGTGAGTGTAATGCACAGATTTAGGGATGAGATCACTAGAATTTAAATTCTGATTGTGCTCTTTATCAGTTACCAGTTGTCATTGTGAGTATGAAGTTTATTGGTGCTTATAAAGGGTACAATATACAGATTTGCTATTATTATTTGCAGCCATCTATTGTTGATCAGCATTTTCATGATTATTGAATATTAAATCCAAGGAATTTAGAGTTGGTGTAGTAGGAGGTAGAGTCCCTGTGGATCAGGAAAGCAAAATATGTTCATTCATTTGTTCTCCTATTCAATAAATGCTCATTGAGTTCCTCCTAATTCGGTGCAGCATTGTACAAGATAAAATTTCTCATTGCAAGGAGCTAAAAATGCAGTTATGAGGGCTGGGGATTTAGCTCAGTAGTTCCATTGCCAGCCTCACAAGCGCAAGGGCCCTAGTTCAATCCCTGGAACCAAAAACAAACAAACAAAAAAATACAGTTATGAAAATAAGACTGGAATGAAAATACAAGACAGAGTGTGGTTAATGGAGAAGTAAGGCAGCTGTGCAGAGCAGAGGGGCTGACATGGTGAGTGTCCTTGATTTATTTTTTTCCCCCACTTACATATTATGGCATAGTGAAAAAAACATGAAATATAGCATTCAGTGGACCTACGCTGAGGTTGAAAACCCTCTCTGAAAGTTCCTTAATCTCTCCATGTTTTTGTGTATATGTATCATGGAGATATTAATAGTATCTACCTCAGGAGCTAAAAGAAGATACAGTATGTAAAGCATGCAGTCTGGGGGACTAGGAGACCGGAACAGTAACACTGTGACAGTGTTCTTCACCCTGCGTCTAAGCAGAGACCATGCTCTGTCTAAGTTGCCAGGAAAACAAAGCCCAGAAACTATTCCTCCTGATTTGGTCCTTTATAATTCATTTGAAAGTGTCTGTGGAAGCTGCTTCTTTTGGGTTGTAATGATTTTTGGCCAAAATCTGTATTGAACAGTTTATAATCCTTTTTCTGTTTCCAGACAAGGCTTACCAGTGTCGGCTTTAAGTCTCTACTCTTTGTTGAGAGCCATTCTACATAATTTTTTGGGAAAATCATTTCATAATTAAAGTATGACAATAGCTGTGTGAGGCCCAATGTCATCTTTCCCGAAAGCTGGTTATGGCACGTGGAAACATAACTCCCTGTGCCTCTGGTCACAAGTTGAGGCCTCAGTGGTCTTGTGTTACTGTGACACTCAAGGGTAAGTGTACAGCTGAAGACATCCTGGTTCTTTGAGAACGTAGTAATAAAAAAAGAGAAAGGTTTTACCTGAGGGAAGGACAAATTCTTTATTAGCCTGCTATCTTGTCCCAC